ATGCCCCATCCCTGCAGGCATTCAAGGCCAGGCTGGATGTGGCTCTGGGCGGCCTGGTCTGCTGGTTGGCGACCCTACACACAGCAGGGGATTGGAACTGGATGAGCATTGTGCTCCTTTGCAACCCAAGCTATTCTATAATTCTACCATTCTATGATTCATCCACCACCCAGGTGCAGAGAAACAGGGAGCTCTGCTTTGCCATTACCACCACCCTGGCATGCTGCATCATTAGGAGGGGGCTAATTATACATCTCCCCATCTCATAACCAGAGAAACAAAGAGTGCAAAGGACCTGCAGGTGGTGATGGGATGGGGGCTGCCATGGCCATGGTGTCTATTGTCTGTCCTTGGGTGCCCAGGGAGGGATGCAGGTCTCTGCCCCATCCGCGGGCTGCAAGGAAGGCCACTGGGGGGTACCAGAAGCGGATTTGTTTCCATACCCGTCAGAACTGGGCCACAATTGCCAGACCACCTCCAGCACATGAATGGGGCAGAGACCGTCCCGATCCCAGGACCGACCCAAGCCTGCCCCTCTCCTTCACACCACGGTACCAGGGCCAGGCTTGCGCCTGTCTCTTCCCCGTTCTCCCCCTTCTGCATGAGACGAGCCCTCCTCACCCACCCCTTCCCGTTCTCCCTCAGCCCCGCGGTTACCGCCGCGCTCATCGCTCCGCAGGGCCGCGTCCGTCGCTCACAGCGCCCCCCCGGCGGTGCACCCCCAACACCGCTCCGCCGCGCCCCGCAGCCCGCGCCCCGCGTTCCGTCCTCACCTCCCAACCGGACCAGGGGAGGGCAATGGGGTGTAACCCCTGCAGCTGGGGGTGGGGAGAGGTGGCCAGCAGGGACAGGGAGGTGATTGCCTCTCTCTGCTCTGCCCTCGTGCGGCCCCAGCTGCAGTGCTGCGTCCAGGTCTGGAACCCCCAGTACAAGAAAGACAGGGAGCTGTTGGAGAGGGACCAGAGGAGCCACAAAGATGATCAGAGGGCTGCAGCACCTACAATACAAAGACAGGCTGAGGGAGCTGGGCTTGTTCAGCCTGGAGAAGAGAAGGCTGCGGGGTGACGTCATTGCAGCCTTCCAGGACGTAAAGGGAGCCTATAAACAGGAGGAGAGTCAATTCTTTACAGGGGCAGATAACAGGACAAGGGGAAATGGTTTGAAGTTGAAGGAGGAAAGATTTCAATTGGATGTCAGGGGGAAGTTGTTTGCTGTGAGAGTGGTGAGGTGCTGGAGCAGCTGCCCAGAGAGGCTGTGGATGCCCCGTCCATCCCTGGAGGTGTTCAAGGCCAGGTTGGATGGGGCCCTGGGCAGCCTGGGCTGCTCTGAAATGTGGAGGTTGGTGGCCCTGGGTGTGGTGGGGTTTGGAGCTTCATGATCCTTGAGGTCCCTTCCAACGTGGGCCATTATGTGATTCTGATTCTGTGTGAGGGGGGCTGACTTCTTATATAGGTAGACAGTGATAGGACAAGGGTAAATGGATATAACCAGAAAGAAGGGAGGCTTAGGTTAGACGTTAGGAAGAAATTCTTCACTCACATGGTGGTGAAGCCCTGGAACAGGCTGCCCAGAGAAGCTGTCAATGTCCCGTCCCTTTAGGTGTTCCAGGCCAAGCCTGAGAGTTTCCTGGTCAGCCTGATCTAGTGGTTGGCAATCCTACTCACAGCAGGGGGGTTGGAACTAGATGATCTTTGAGGTCCCTTCCAATCCAAGTCATTCTGTGATTCTGTGATCTTCTGGTAGGGGCAGGGGGAGGTGCACCAGGGAAACAAGGCGGTATTGCAGCCAAGGGGTGAGAAAGGATGAGCCCAGGGAACTGCTGAGCTGTCAGCCTCACCTCTGTGCTGGGGGCAGTTCATGGAATGTACGGCAGAATGACAGCATGGCTGGGTTGGAAGGGAGCTTAATTCCCTCCCATTCCCACCTTCTGCTGTGGGCTGAGTGCCCCCCCAGTTCAGGCTGCCCAGGGCCCATCCATGGCCTCGTCACCTCCAGGGATGGGGGCACCCACAGCTCTGGAGCTCTGGGCAGCAGAGCTGGGGGCCCTACTGCCTCTGGGGAAAGAATTTTGTAGAATCATAGAATGAATCCCTCAGCCTGTCTCCATAGAGAGGTGCTCCATCCTCTGAGCATCCCCATGCCCTCCTCTGGACCCCCTCCCACTTTTCAAGCGTGTCCAGCTCCATCTGAATGCTGTCCCCTCCATCTATTGTCTCAACTGCACCACTCAGCTTAGTGCCATTTGCCAGCGGCTGAGGAGACTCTCAATCCTGCTGTGACATTGAAAATGATGTTATAGAACACTGGTCCCAAGACGGACCCCTCCTGTAATGCACTGGGACAGGGAGTGGGGGTCACCGTCCCTGCAGGTGCTTTGTGGGGATGTGGCACTGAGAGACGTGGCCAGTGGGCATGGTGGGGATGAGCTGGGGATCTCAGAGGTCTTTTCCAGCCGTTATGATACTCTGACACAACACGCCATAGCGGCTGCTTGCATACTGCAGGAATACCTAGGGGCTGAAGGAGTTCAGCCTCCCGCTGCTCCTCGGCCCCCACAGCGGGGACATCGCGAGTGGCTCCGCCCGCCCTCCCCCCACTGATTGGTTTTCTGCCTCCCTTCCCGCTAGCTGATTGGTCTTCCTCTCTCCCTCTTCGCACGCTGATTGGTCCTCCACTTCGTCCATCAAACAGGCGAGGCGCCATGTTGAGCGCGGCTGCGCGGTTCCCGCCTTGCGGCGGCCATGTTAGCTGCAGCGCTGTGAGAGCTGTCAGAACGGCGGACGTTTGGCGGAGCTCAGCGCTCACTGATCCGTTTTTAGGAGCCCTCAGCCGGTATCATGCTGACCATGCTGGCTGTAGGATCGATGCAGGGACCCGGCAGGGCCTCATCAGCTCCGTGCTCCATCCTGGAGCCTGAGAAAGGGCCATGGGCCCAATCTCAGCCTTAGAGGAGCTGAGAGAAACGGTGCTAAAGCCTCCCTGCTGCATGGCCCGAGCACTGCAAGTGGTATTTGTTATGTGTACAAGTGGTTGCAGAGGCAGGACTGGACCTTAGCCCTTAGCAAACATCCACGTTGCTGTTCTGGGGTCAGCTGAGTTTGTGCTGCCAGTGGCCTTGGAAACGAGGGGAGGTTTCAGTATGAGGCACCCAGGCCCTGCTGCAGGCAGGCATTCAGCTTGTGGGAAAAGTGAACACAAACTGCTAAGGAAGGGGTAAATCCTTGTTGCCAGCAGTCTGACAACAGTTTGTATTCCTGTGGCTGCTTCTTAAAGTAATTTAAATGGAAATGCTGTAGGAATGATGCTGGAGCACCTCCCCTATGAGGACAGGCTGAAGGAGCTGGGCTTAATCAACCTGGAGAAGAGAAGGCTGCGGGGTGACCTCATTACAGCCTTTCAGTACCTAAAGGGAGCCTACAAACAGGAGGGGAATCAACTCTTTGAAAGAGTTGATAACTGCAGGACAAGGGGAAATGGTTTTAAGTTGAGGGAAGAGAGATTTAGGTTGGATGTCAGGGGGAAATTCTTTACAGAGAGAGTGGTGAGGTACCGGAACAGCTGCCCAGGGAGGCTGTGGATGCCCCGTCCATCCCTGGAGGTGTTCAAGGCCAGGTTGGATGGGGCCCTGGGCAGCCTGGTCTAGCATTAGGTGGGAAGGTTGGTGGCCCTGCATGTGGCTGGGGGGTTGGAGATTCATGATCCTTGAGGTCCCTTCCAACCCTGGCAATTCTGTGATTCTGTAATGATGGACTGGATAAGGAGCTATGAGATATGGTTTAGTGGCTTGTAGTAGTAATTGTAATGGGAGGATGGTTGGACTAGATGATCTTTTAGGTCCTTTTCAACGTAATTCTATGATTCTATGATGGAAGGAGCCTTTCCTGGTGGGTGACGTGCTTCATACTGGGAGGTGAGGTAGGCAGCGAGGTCTGCCTGCCATTCCTGGGTGAGAAAAGGTGGCTTCAGGGTATCCCTGTGCCACCAAACCCAATAGTCTGGCGGTGGGTTAGGAACAGTCATCCCTTTGTGAACTGCTCCTGTCTCTGCCACTCTCCTTAATGTGCTGCTCTACCTCTTCTTTGCCAGGCTGTTTCCAACACAAGACTTGATTTCACCTATGCTTTTACTTGTACCTTTCCTTCCTGGTCCCAGTTTCCCATTTTTTGGTATTGCAGGTGCCTCTGCTGCTGAACCCCCATCTCAGAGCTGCGCTTTGTGGGCAGCAGCTGCCTGGTAGTGTGGTTTCAGATCAGAATTTAAAACAGTGCTGATTGATCGCTGCTCCGATTGCTTCTGGCTGGAGCTGTCAGGGCCCATGATAGATTCTCTCGCTCTCTTTTTCCAGATCATCAGCATTCATTGATAATGGTGAGCCTCTCCACTGCTGACCAGACTCATACATTTGCCTCCTGCTTTGAGATCCACCCTGTCAGGCCCTGTACTGCCTTTCTGAGTGAGGAGGGCTTCTGACACACTCCTGACACTCGATCTGCATCTCCATTGCAATTCAATGCATGAAGAGAAGAAAGGTGAGAGAACAAGGTCCACACAAAAACAGAGCCCAGATGGGCTCTGTACTCTATGTGAGGCTATTGTCACCTCCACCTTGTCAGCCTCAGGTGGGATCTGCACCGTCTTTGCATCCAACCTCCATGCAGGTTCCCATATCTCAGCTGTGTTTTTGTGGCACTTCCTGGACACGACAGAGCTGCTGATGTGGAACAGATATTGTGCTGCCCTTTAATCTCACCTCTGGAGCCCCAGGTGTGGCCACCTTGGCAATTACAGCCATTTGATAACTCCAAGTGCTTTGAGCAAGGAGCACTGGTGGAATTTGAGCTGGGTTCAGTCTGGCACTCCCCTTCAGGGAAGGCTGTTTTTCCTTTTGTGAACTCTGAAGTTCGGACCACACAAAAAAGTCAGTGTCAGTCTTGTTTATAAGCTCCCTTCAAGTATTGAAAGGTCTTACTGGAGTCCTTTCTTCAGGCTGAACAAGTCCAGATCCCTCAGCTTTTCTTTGCAGGAGAGGTGCTTGGCCTTCTGAGCATCTTTGTATCAACTGCACCACTCAGCTTGGTGCCATCAGCAAACTTGCTGAGGGTATGCTCGATCTCACTGTCTGTGCCATTGATAAAGATGCTGAAGAGCTTTGGTCCCAAAATAGACCCTTGGGGGACAGCTCTCATCACTGCCTCCACTGGGACACAGAGCCATTGATCACAGCCCTCTGACTGCAGCCATCTAACCAGTTGTTTATCTATCATTGGATTCAGCCTTCACATCTCTCCAATTGAGAGATAAGGATGTGGTGCAGGGGCATGTTAAATGCCTTGTGGAAGTCCCTCCAGATGGCATCTACCATTTCTTTGTCCATTGATGCTCTCATTCCATTATAGAAGACCACCAGATTGGTCAGCCACAGACTGCTCTTGGTAAAGCCATGCTTGATGTCTGGGATCACTTCTTTGTCTTGCATGTGCCTTAACATGGCTTCTAGAAGGATCTGCTTCATGATCTTCCCAGGCTCACTGGTCTGTTGTTCCACAGATTTTGATATTTCCCTTTCTTAAAAACAGTGAAGATGTTTCCCTTTTACCAGTCACCGGGGATTTCAACTGACAGCCATGACAAACAGCATAGGTTTGCTTGCACTAGGGATAGTTTAAGAA